CCCCCCTCTATCCCGTCCCACCCTAGCTTCATGAACGTCCTCCGCCGGTACAGTGGTCTGTGCCGTCCCTCTCTTGACAAGCAAGTCTTCTTTATTTCCTTCAAGAATAGTTTGATCTACTTAAATCGGAAAATGTCTGAAAAGCGGGTGCTCGCCCTTCTCACTGAGGGCACGGAGGAGATGGAGTTGGTTATCTCCGTAGATGTGCTTCGACGAGCTGGGGTAAGATCAAGAGGCTAGGTTAAGGTCGTTTGCAATGTATTCAGAGGCGACTTGGAACCACTTTTAAAAACTCTATCCTTTGTCGGTACCATACTGTCCCATTTTCTGCCGTCTAGATCGACGTGACTGTTGCTGGCCTTACTAGTGACAAAGTGTTCAAGTGCAGCAGAGGCGTCCTTGTCAGCTCGGACACCACTTTGGACGAAGCTCTGACCAAAGGGCCGTACGATGTCGTTCTGCTCCCAGGAGGGCCGGGCTACAAAACCTTCGCCGCGGTGCGTATTATGTGAATGAGATACTCAAATGTAAGAAATGGGTCGTCACCCTCACCAACAGATGTCAACAATCAACTGCGCAGTTTCATTGTGGCTTCATCTTAATACTAAAACGACTAAAACTGAACAGTGTAATTCTCATTGGGAACTTATACTTTTCCCAAGCTGTTTTTTATCTTGATTTTGCACCTTTTTGTGTTTTTCTATTCCAGTCTGAAAAAGTTGGAGCAGTTCTGAAGGATCAAGAAAAAAGTGATAGGTTTATCGCAGCTATTTGTGCAGGTATACCAGTATTGCTGCTTTTGATTTTAACCGGCTTCTGTTTCATACTCTTTGCAGTGTTTCCCTAAATCTCCTATTTTGTTTGAATTTAGCTCCTGTTGTTCTGAAAACACATGATGTCTGTGGCAAAAAGAAAGTAACTTGCTATCCATCTGTTAAAGATCAAATGATCGAGGCGGGTGCCTATACATATGTTGACAGCAAGGTCGTAGTTGATGGTAAGTCAATTTGCTTGGTCAAGCCAGCTTGTCATTATGTATTATTATTATTAGGGTACAGTACAGTCCAGTCAGTATAAGATTTGGATTCTGATAAATTTTATAAATTTTGTCTTTGTAGGTAAGTTAATTACCAGTCAGGGTCCTGGTACAGCCTATGATTTTGGCTTGACCATCATTGAACAACTTCTAGGAAAAGATGCTGCAACTCAGGTGGCAAAAGCACTTCTTCTTTAACTTCAAATAAGCCATCAACTCTTCCAACCTTAAATATCTATAATCTTGTAAGAAAGTGATGTCTGTCCCTTTCAAAAGAAGAAAAATGTTTTCAAGGAAAAAGAATCTTATTTATTAGATTAGTATTGTACACCCCCTGTATTTAAAAACTTAAAAACAATATAAACAAAAATGAAGTAGCTTCAGACTACTTTTAAAATTCTCAGTAATGCATATTAAATTAACAATTGTGATATCAAACTAGGGGTAAGTACCATATAAGTTCAAAATAAATGTAAGAATGCGGAGAATAAGTTATTTTGGTTTCTCTTCACTCCTTTTCCATGCTCACAATGCTCTCTAAATCTTTATCACAAGTCATTGCGAATCACAACTTTGACAATATTAGTGAAATGATTAAACTTTCGTAATATATCCCTTACAAAGACAGCAACAAAATAAAAATACATCAGTGATAAGATTGCAATTAAGGTAAAAGCAAAATCAATCTTGAAAAAGATTTTTAACAAAATTATAGGAAACTGTGATGAAGGACATTTGCTCATATCAATGTAAAATACAATATAGAAAATAAGATTATGTACATTGCATACATCTATGGTACAGTTCACAGAAAACTCTCTGGTTACAAGGTACGGGGTAAGGGACTCACCACAAAAACAGCTTATTGCTCTGAAACAAGCAATCTATCCAAAGCCTTAGTAGCTTCGGGAACATTTAGGTTTTTAAGAGCATTCTTGAATTCCAAAAGGGAGATCTTCTTTTCAAACTGAATAAAATTAAAAATAGATAGCATATTAGATAGTTGTGATTTTACTAAAAAATTAAATCACAAGTAACATTTAGCTTCCAATCGACAATAAGAATTGACAGGTTTAACTCACCTCCAAGTAGGTAAGAAGGATACGGGAAGGGCTTGCTACACTTGAAAATGTCCTCAGTAGAAAACTACAGTTGAGGTTCTGACAGACAACTCTCCATTTATTGTCTCTATCTAAACTTTCAATTAAAATTGATCGTGTGGCATCATCAATCAAACTGAAATTACCTGTGAAAACAAAAGTGAATTGAATTCAGTCCAAGGTTATCAAATTTGTAAACAAATGTCTAAGCATTGTCTCTTAATGGTTGAAACACATTTCTTCAACACACCTTTATCATCTCCATCGTTTGAGTCCGACTGTTAAACACAATAAAAATGTATTAGTTATCATTTTGTCATATTTATGGGAACAAATATGTGTTGGTTTTCTGAACAAATCCAACTGGCTTATTACCCACCTCATCACCATCACTTGTATCACCATCTGAATTACTTTCAACAGCATCTCCATTCACATGGCGATAATTGTTAACATTATCACTTCGTTTTGAAAATACAACATCTTCCTTCTCATCACTGCCATAAGTGTCACCACGGTCCTCCTCCTCCTCCTCCTCCTTACACCGAGTTTGAACCGAATCGGGGATTTACACCTACCTAAGTCTCCTGAAAGCTGACTCTGGCCGCCGGGTTTGTGGCCAAAATTTTGTGGCCACAGG